GATGTGATGGAACATAGCCAACACTGGTGCTTTATAAGAAAGCAGCTGGCTTTGGGTAATCAGAGAGGAATAGGCATTTTGTCTGTTTCAAGCCCTTTCCCCTTTCTAGTTTATTCTTGTGCAGAAAATGTGCGGCAAAGAATCCCCTCATCCTCTACCTTGTTTGACTGGATTATTGATCATGCTGCATCCCAATCAGAAGAATGTGTTCTTTGTATCAAATCACTAGGGAAAAAAAATGTGTTGCAAAATCTGAGGGTGAAATAAAGAACTGCCTAAGGATCTTATTTCCTTCTAGGACCTGGGTTATTATTTAAGTTTCAACTGTACAGAAACATCTATACATGTATGCTGTAACAACCAAATAAATATTAAACTCCTTCCTTCACAAAGGGCCTGATACTGTTTTTTACCAGTATTACTGTGATTTTCTGGACCAAAAGTAAGTTCCTATTTGCAAAAAACATATGCACTAGACCATGTTCATTGACCCTTTCTGGCAGTTTCTCTAAATGTTCTGTTTCACATTTAACTGAAGGCAATGTTGCAATTAGGCTGATCAGCTCAGCTGGGACAGCCTTTGAGTGGAGCCCATGGAAAACAGCTAAGTCTGCCAATTAGGCACTTTCAACAAAATAAAAATTCAGAAATAATTTTGCTTTGGGATGTTTTTATTTATCATTTGGACACAGTCCATATGATAAAAGAAATCAAAATTTGTATTCCTATTATGGAAACATGGATTAAATACTTCTCAAAGGTCATTGAAGCACACAGGATGGTGAGATGTTTTGCTGTAATCATGGAAAGATGATAAAGGCACTGAGATTTAGACAATTTGGGTTTGCTTCACAGCTCTCCCACAATCTCCCAGTGCAACTTACCCAGGGCACTTAGTTTCACTTTGCTGCAGCTCCCCATCTGTCTAATGAGGATAATAATATTTTCCATTTGTCTTATCTAATTAGATGATAAACTCTACTGGCCAGGTACCTCTGCTTACTAGGAGTTTAATACAGAATGAGCATCCCCATGGGCTGCCTGCAGGGCATACTGTAATACAGATAATAAATTACATAATCCATCATGATTTAGTGTCTAGAGCTAAGACTTTTAACCTGGACTACCCATGGAATAATGAAAGACCTCTTTCAGTGCAAGCACACAAATATAGATCTCTGCTAAACATGTACAAAAGGCAGAGAATTCAGGCAATTTAGCTCCTCAAACATAGATCTTAAGCAATTAACCTAAAAGACAATGTTTACACAGACACTGAAGGATCAGATAGGTCGACGTTTAAGCATGAAAGTACTTAATCAGGCATATATTTCTTTAGCACAGAGAAATGGTCTGTTCACGTGTGCATACAGCACCTGCCTGAAGTCAGTGCTATGATCAAGCCACCATAACTGATTGTGCTGGAGTGGTACAGCAAGGTGATGCCCCAGTCCCTGCAAGGACCTGCCCTCAGCGGGACAAGCACATGCATTGCAATGGGTAAAGAGCACACAAGCCAAACCTTTTGTTAGAATTCACAAAGATGATGGATATGGCTAACAGCTGTGATGGATGTTATAACTACATCCCATTTGCAAAGGGAAAATGAACAAAGATAGATTAGTAATTTTGTATCAAGATAGCCTATAGAGATTTGGAGCATAGCTAGATGATCCAGCAATGCAGGAACAAATATCTATGAAAAAATCAGTGGAAGTCCATAAATTAACTTTCTCAAGTCAGACTCTTAGCTTATTACCTCTGTCACCAGCTGCAGACAGTGACCCAACCCATCAGAACAATGATGCCATTTTCTAATTACAGCTGAGCTTGTAGCAAAGGGACCTCTGTCATACAATCTTGAGCAACAAGACTAGCAGAAATGTCAAACAAATCTTTCTGATGCAAGAAATATTTACCTTCTTCATTCACCAGTCTGCATCTACATTCAGATGTAAGATTACCTACACCAGGTTGTATACTTATCTCAAGAATGCCTGTTGCTTTGATTTCCCTAGGGAAATCTAATAATGCAAAACTTTATCTTCTTTCACATTGTAGCTAGAACAAATAAGAATCAGTGCTATTCTCTGTTCACTGAGATCTTAGAATGACAGCTACAAAACTCACCCCATCTATGTACTTGTGCAGAACTCATAGGATGGTTGAGGTTTCCTGTTTCCTTTTTTTAATTTCTTTACATTTGATTTTACATTTTCATACTATTGTATTCCTCTGCATGCACAGAAATAGGAATGAGTTTGTTTCTTAAAAGATTAATGAAGCACTTTCCTGACCATACATTGGCACTGAGTAAAGAATATCTGCCAGCTCCTTAGTTCATGGACACCAAGTCAGTCCTTTCAAGTCAGTAATCCATGAAGCTTTAGACTATCTAAACTCTCTAATCAGAGAGTTAACGTGGATCATTCCTGACTATGGTACATAGCTATGCAAAAATCTCATTTACAAATTAAACTTTACATCTGCTTTCGACTTCCTTTCTCCATCTGTCCTCTGCTACTTAAAACACTTGGTCTGTCCTCCTTTCTTTCAAAAGTCATTGCCAAATGCCAGAGGTAAGCAACACTAACATTCATACCTAGCATCACAGCAGCCTAATACCAAAGAGCTTACAGGTGTGCTGACAACCCAATACAAACGTCATGTGGAGAACACAAAGACACAGGATCAGTGTCTCATCTGCTCTGCAACCTAGTGCATGAAATGAAAATAGATTGAAATGTCTCTGATATTGCTCATTTTTCATTCAAGCAAACTCCTTAGGAAATCTCATCCTTTATCACATCATCAAACAATAGCACTATTCCTAAGGCAAGACCATACACAAACATCCTTTGTCTAACACGTCTAACACCACACAAACTTCTGCTTCTCCAATGCAGGTGGGTTGAGCTACTAGTTCTTCCTGTCCTGCTCCCTCACAGTTCATTTTAGGACCCGAGTAGTGCTCCATGACTCCTGCACTATCTCCAATGTCTTCCTCCAAACCATCCACCCCAGTAACAGCAGCACATCCTCCTAACTAGTAACTGCCACTTTCCTTTCCTCTTTCTTCTGATTTTAGGATGCAGAATAAGAGGTGCCCCTGTTGTATAGGAAATTCATGTTTCCAGTCCTTGCAAGGCAGACTACCAACAACCTATCGGTGGGATAAGGTGCACTATGGGAGATATGAGCAAGTGGAGATCCAAATTGTTCTTGGTTAAACCAGGCATGACCATGTAAAAAACAACCCAGCTTTTACTTCTCCTTTCCTTTTAGTACTCCATCAATAACTTTTCAATGGTTTTAAGCCCACCAGAAACCTGCTTCAAATGCGTGCAGACCCTGTCTATCTCCTGTCCCCCCCTGTTCTCTAAGTCTGTTCAATGCTTGTTTCTTTACTGGTTTAGAATCTCATGAGGTTCAACAAGGCCAAACAAGGCCTACAAACATTTCCATCTCCCTAAAAGAATGACCAGGTAGGATTGGCTGAGTACATTTGCCCTAGTTGCAGCAATGACAGCTGATGAAGGGAGGCTTTGCCCTTGCCAAAGGGAGACATGAGGGCCAAAGAACCACATGAAATAAAAGGCTGAAACTCTTCCAATACCAAGGACTGATTGCTAGATTCTGACCTGACCCTGACACACAAGAAGGCACTGCTCACTGCTGGTCATACCTGAGCTAGGCCTTCAAAAAAGCACAAAGTAGGTGATAAATTTTGCACATATAAGCTATACTTTTAGACTCAGCACCCTGTGGGCTCCTGTTGCATTTGCATTGAAGTTGTAATCCATTACATGTGGTTGGTCAGATACTTCCTCCACAAAGTGGGTATTTATAAGACTGTTGAGAATGTCAAGGACTTTTGGCCTTCCTAGTTTAAATTTCCACTCATAGAGCTGCCTTAATTTCGATTTATATTGTTCATTTTAGCTTCAAACCACATACCTGCCATAGAAATAGCCAGACTGACTAGTCCTGACTGGTTAAAAATCAGCAGAAACAACTGACTAGGACAGAGGTCTCGCAAGAGTCCTCTGTTGAAGGCTTGGAATCTCACAGTCATTTAGGAGACTTGAGGGACTGTCTGCCTGAACTCATTCTGCAGTTCCCAGGGGAACAAAATGAATATGTGAAACACAGTAAGGAACAACCTTCTACAAAGGCATCACCGGATCACCAAACTGAATCCCAGCTTCACTTCACTGGGAGGTTTGCCAAATCTCATGGGGAAGTCCTAGACTGGAGCAGCAAGATCACCTCACTTCAGGGTCCTAAGCTGAACAGGATGCAAAATATACAGTAATGCCAACTACAGCAGGTATTCACTACTCCTAAAGTTCAGCTTTGAGTGGCATCAAATTACACTTTCATAAAATACCCCAGGGATGTGGCTCAAGCCTCTGTGAAATCATGGACAGCTGGCACTTTATTAATCTTTGATTTCACAGCAGTATCCTTGTGCTGGTACTGTTGCTTCCTGACATCTCAGCCATTTGAGAGTAAATGATTGGCAAAACCACCACTGTCAAATCTGAAGGTCTTGTTTTTCAATTTAAATCAAAATCAACGTCTTTACAGTGTTTCCTGCCTACACTGATCTTTCTGTCCAGGACTTCAGATCATCCATCCCAACAGGGCAAACATTTGGAACAGATCTCTACCAAAGCTGAGTAAAAAATAATTCAAGGATATATTGCAAAAGATGTCCTCATAAAACTCCTATTTCCCTGAAAAGTTCAAGGAATCCTACATCACCTCTAACAATTCCCTTCTTGCAGGTCTCATCCTCCATGTTAAGATTAAAAGCATGGTCAGGGATGATCGAGCACTCCTTAAAGTGATCGAAGCCTGATTCAAACATGACTCACATCTCATCTGTGTCAAGTGAGCAACTTGTGTTGAAATCCCTGTCACTGTAACATGCACTGGAATAGTAAAAGCACCATAAGACAGCAAACACCACAGCAACATAGTGGTTTAATACTCACACTCAGCAGGAGGCACTTGTTTTCTTTGATGGCACCTATGCAGCCCACGAAGCCAATGATCATGACAAATGTCCCTGTGACGATCAGTAGGTTGGCAGCAGACAGGGACGGGAAAGATGAGGAGAGAGTGGCAAAGTTCCCTTGGGTAACAGCCAGCCAGATGCCTACACCAAGGATTCCACAGCCCCCCAGCTAGGAAAACAAAGAGAAACAGAGAAACTCAATTATTGTATCCAAGCAACTCCAGATATTAATCCATGTCAATATGGCAGTGGTAGAATGGCTCTGCTGAGGTAACCCAGCAGTCACACCTAATAAGAAATGATCTCTCCCTACGGCATTTTCAGTAGGGCAAACAAAGCAGAAAGAAAAAAATTATAGAGAACTCATCAGTAAGATGTATCACTCAAGAAAAAGACACATTTCCTAAATTCAAGACACAACTTTAGATACCAGGTCTCTTCCTCTCTAGTGAAAAAGTGGACACTGAGTAAAGGAGAGGTTCCCAAAGGTTCAGTTCTCCTTTGGGAGAACTGAAAAAATTCAATGGGATTGAAAAAATCCATGTCCAATTTAGGTATCTTTGAGAGCTGCCCAGAATGGCTGCAGTACTTTTGATATCCTGTTCTTCCCATCCTAATATACACTGTCTCTCATCCCTGACACATACCAGAAACAGATCTTGCCAGAGCATTTGCCTGGCAGAACACGCCATTATTCTTCTTATTAGTTCCTGTCCAAGGTCTAGCCTCTCTTGGAAGTAAGAGAGCAGTTAAAGTGTCAGGGGACCAGAAAAGGAGGAAAAATCCTCCCATAACATTAAAACTCCCCAAATATGTTTACTCCTAATGTGACACTTCATTGGTAACTCAATCCTCAGAAGAGGACTTGGCTGGTTTAGGACAAATTTGAGGAGGAGCAGTAATACAGGCTTCCTAGGCACAGGAACAAGGAAAAGGGCGGATGCCAGCGCAGGCAGCAGCCACCACAAAAGCATAAAATTTACAATTATTATATACACAAGGAACTTTCAAAAACTGCAAACATTTATAAGCATGCTGCTTATAACTGAGAAAACCTGCAGAATTGTAACAATCTAAGTAAAGCTGAGCAATTAAACAGAATTAAATTGAAGGGGGTTTTGCATTATTATATAGTCACAATGCATCTCATTACTTAGCTTTCTTTCTTTCCTGCTCTCCCTTTAAAATAACCAATTTTTATTGAGTTCTATAATTGCACTTTATTAACCAAATCAATTAAAGGCTAGGAAAGAAATTGTGTTCCTAAGAGTATTAAGCCAGACACAGGAGCATATCCATTAAATACCTGCATAAAGTGGATGAACATAAGGCAGCTCATGAACCAGGGAAGGAAAAAGATAGAGCTAATCCTGGGGCAGAGCTAAACCTCAGAAATGAAACACAGAAGAGAAACACATAAGCCAAAGTAATTTCTTACACTAATTACTAAGGTTGTCTCTGAACGCCACTGAATTCCCTCCCAGTAAAGGACAATAAAGGCAACTGTGTTTTAAGGCAGGACTCCTCACCCCAGCTGCAAACCAGTCTATTTTGTTCAGAACTAAGGGACTAAACTATACCTTCATTGCAATGCATCTCAGCTGCATCAACCTGCGTGTCTCCACTGAGGAAAGGAAAACTCCTGGACACAGGGGCTCAAATCACCTCACTCAGTAGCCTTTTCATATTACAAGCATCCCATATCACCATATTCACCCTTTCTCAAGTACCCTCTACAAGAACCATGGAGAGATAGTCCATGCCACGATCATATATCCTGGAAATACCTTCCCTTTATGTTCACTTACAGACCATGGTCTTTAACATGGTCCAAAATGATTAAAAAATAACCAAGGGAGAGGAGGGGGAAGAATACTTAAAGAAGGTAACCCATAGAAAATCATTTAGGATAACTGAGGGAATATAAACAAAAGCTATCATCATGGCCCAAGGAAAAGAAAAATTGAATCAAATTAGGAATAAATTCCCTAAAATGGGAATAAAACTCTGAATGTCTATCGCACTACAGAACAGCATCAAAGGAGAGGTGACAGACAACAAAGCTAAAACCAAAATGGTCAGAATGTTGAAATACAGTCAGGAATAGGACTAAACTGGCCAGGGACTGGGACAGAAAGCACAACTGGGCTTCTGCATCTTCAGCCTGGTGGAGGTTCTGCCTCAAAAATCAGCCTTGGAGCTGCAGGCACAGTGAGGCTGCACCAACAGACCAATTAAGCCTAACGAAGGTGGATGCCCAGCAGAGGCATGACCTTGCAATATGTTTAGCTATTATCTTCAGTCCTTTGTTCTGAAGCAATTCAACAGCACCAGTAAGAGGCAGCTTTTTTCATCAGTTTTCATGTTCCCCGTGTTGCTACACTGCTCTGAGTGATACCAACACCCACAACTATCATCAGTATTAAAGGAGGATGCTGTAAAGGCAAGACCTGCTTGCCTGCTCCTCCATCACCCACTAAATTCTTTATGACACTCAATGCATAATACTTGAGACATCGTTGCCTGGACATTTGAATCCAGTCTCTTCTGACTCCAAAGTCATTCTTGCTTGCGGAAACTGGAAAATCACCAGTAGCACAAAACATCACAAAAGTAGGACACAGTTTGCGCAAAACGCCACGACTGTGGCTGTACCCATTTAGATCAAGGATGAATATTTCAGGTCAGTTGGTCAGCAGAAGTATCTCACTACAGTGCCCTTGATTCAGAGATACTCTCCATCTTCCTGTTTTTGAAGAGATAATGCACAGCTCTTCCTTAGGTTGATTAACCAAACTCTGAAACGCGCAAAGGGATCCCTTGAACATTAAAACATCTGGCTCAAGCTGGATTTCCCAATATCAGCACACACTATTGAAGACTGCTTCACCCTAGTTCAGCCCTCTTCCTTTTCCCACATCAGAACACCCCCTTTATTTGGTCCCCGAATAAATTTCCTAAGTTGTTATACCAGGCCATGGAAACAGGCTGCCCTTAATTCAAGTCCAAATGGCTCTTTAAAGCCCCCTTTTCCCCACAGAGCAAAGCACATCTGCAAGTCTCCATTCACTGGCCATTTTAACACTCAGGCACCTGGTTAAGGAAATGCTTAAGGGAACCAAGACAGCCACAGGAGCCTTTCCAACAATAGCCAAATGTTTTCTTTTCTGAAACATTCAAAAAGCCTGCTCCCTGCCTGCCCTGCCTCATCCCCCATTCTGAACTGTACAGCAGCATAACTCCCAGTCTAAAATCTACGGATTAGAGGGATCACATTTCTTTATTCTGGATCAGAGCCAAGAGAAAACTGTTGTAGTTGGTTCTGTGCTGCTTGTCTGGTTTTACTTCTTCCTTTTGGTATCTAAGGTCCTGTTAGTTACGGATAATTTTACCTAGTTATTTATGATGTTCCCTTTCCTCCACTTTTTCTCTCCTTACCCTATCCCCACCCCTCAGTCCTTTTTTTAGTATCAAACAGTCAGAAGCAGAGTGAAGAAATGATAAGTTTTGACAGTTTTCAGGGTTTGTCGAGACGTGAAATTAAACAAAACCAAAACCATTAAAGAGGCTATTCTTGATAATTTGGGGATTTCCATGCAAACAGTGATGTTGTCATGGTTAAAAGAGGAAACATTAAAACAAAAAGATTAGTGAGAAGTCTACAGTTTAAACCTGATCTATTGGTAGTCAAATGAGAGTCTGTATCAACTCCATTTAGTGAGTGCAGAGTCGACTTTTAAAAAAATCCCCTTGAAAGATGTCAGGCTGATAACAAAATTTTTTTTCATTCTCTTGTGAAATGTTTAACACATTATTTGCCTAATTGTTCGTGATAATCCACTCTCTTGCAAGCAGGGTAGCTCATGGCAAAACCTGAAACAAAACGATGCTTTCTCTAACATTTTTTCCCCAATAAATGTTGCACATTATTTTGCAAAATCTTTTATTCTAAAGTCAAAACAGTTGGACACCAGAAGGAATACTGTCATAGCCCTGAGACTTAGGAAATTTGAGTCAAGTGTCTGTTCCAGGACAGATGTCAGTGTAAATCTCAAATAGGCTATTTAGTACGTCTGTGCCTGAGCTGCAAAATTGTGAGTAAAAGGACACGAGCAGCGGGTTCTTTGCAGGCCCTGGACTTTGCAATTGGCTCTGGAAGGAGCAGATTATTCTGTTCAAGACAAATTGCTCATAGGCATTTATACAGCAGTCAAGCAGTAAAGCAGATGCCTTCCTCTAAAAGCATAGACTGAGTCTCTCTTCTTCCCCAAGAGATACACAGACATGTTCTCTTGGCAAAAAAAGCTGCCTATGGAATTAGATCCTCCACATTGTTCTAATGGGCTAGAAAATAAATTATTCAGGCTTCAGTGCATACATTTAGAATTGATCTTACAGTATGATAATCAAAGTAATCCCAAACAGCCCTGGATATATGCATGTTGGTGGAGAAAATTATTTTGAAGTTACAGCTACACACTTAAAATACTGCAGGAGAAATTGCCTCATTGTTCATGATAATGGTGCTGGTGTCTTTAAGTGGGTTTTTTATTGGTTTTATTACATGGAAAATGCACCTAATTGAGGCTTTTCATATTGTATCTGATTAGGATCCACTCACCATACTTCCTCTTTTAGCTAAAAAAATTTCCTTGTGTATTAAGAAATATGCTGATAACAGAATCCAAGTGGATTCTGAAAAAACAGTTGTTTTGCAGTTAAATTAACTTCCCTGGAGGATTTTTCTCCCTAGTCTCTACATATTTAAAATAAAAGGGCTTTCTCAATCCCACTTATATGAATATGCTTCCCCCTCTAAGTATGTAGTTAAAGCATACAGTGAAAAAATCAACATCTAAGCATCAAGAGCAGCGATCTGAATGTTATCCAGCAAACGTTCTTGCAATATTAGGCATATTTAAATTACTGTCCCTTTCTGCTAGACACATGGAGGAGGTGGAAATGGAATACATATACACACAGACAGGATCAAATGAATCAAGAATCTTACATGGAAAAAGCAGAAGCATGTGTGCAAATGCAGAGGCCGTGGTGCTCTACATAAACGTGTGCGAACAACCTGTTCATGTAGCTGTTGCCTATTTAGGAGGAAGGAGGAGTCACTTCTGGAAAACAACTTCAAACACACTGGCCACTTCTGGAAAACAC